ATAAAAGAAATTTTTCGCGTATTGTTGTTAAATGTATAATATATATATAGTGCGAAATGTATTGTCATATTATCATTCCCGTAGCTACACATACACATTGTAATTGTACTTCCACAATCTGCTTAGTTCCAAACCAAGAAATTATTTTTATTTGCATATTGCAAATTTACAAATGTGTGGACGTTTACAACTATTATAGTGGATCTCAAAATTATCCAGTATAATAGTTGTAATTTTACACAATTTTTTACAATGCGCTTGAGACTAGAGAAGCCTCTAGGCCCGTCCGCTGTGATTGTTGGTCGTCGATTTAAAAAAAAGTAACGGAAAAGTAACGAAAAGTTACTTTCTCAAGTAACGGTAACTGTAACGAGTTACTTTTAAAAATCGGTAACTAGTAACGGTAACTTGTTACTTTTCCTACTCTCTCGGTAACGAGTAACTGTAACTTGTTACTTTTAAAAAGTAATTTTCCATTCCCTGGAAATTAGATACCTAATTTGAATAATCACATGATGATATGTTCTTTTTTCTTTTATTTCTATCATTCAATTCTTTAAAATTTGGTAACTACAAAATCACACGATGGATGAAATTATTTTTAACATCATGTGATTTTTTAAATTATGTAATTTAAAAAATCACGTACTGATTTGGAACGATCCGTTACAATCTTACATGTTTTAATTATACGATTTCATCATGTAACATTGTGACATGATTTTTTTCAGTAAGTATCCGTTCAACGAATGCAGCTGCATTGACGACGATTCAAGATGTTGTCGGTGAAATTATCAGTAAATTAGATTGCCCGGATTTTCCGAGGCTTCCATAAGCGAATCGCGAAACCCTTTAAAAGTCACACCGCTCCAGAATTCCATTGTTCTTCGCCTAGGTGAGTACCATACTTGAACTCTCTCCACGATTTATTCTTTTTGTACATTTTACTAATTAAAGTTAATAGCGACGATTGCAAACCGATTTAAGCATAAAATAATAATTATTATTATTTAATGCAAAAATTTTAATTAAATAATAGAAAGATTAATTTATGTGAAGCCTCAAAATAGTTTTGTTGCATCATAAAGCCGCAAATAATTAACGATTAATTGTGAATGTTATTAAATAGAAGGCAAAAATTAACTGTAAATTTTTCATATCTTCGCAAGAAAGTGAGGACAATGTAAAAATCGTACAATTATTATATTGCAAAATACGAAAATTTATTGTTACTTTATGTTAGCAGTAAGTCATACGTTACAGTTATGTTTGAGTTTTACTGGAATGCAATTACGCTGCGTTTCCTCTCAAGAATGATTCTATGCGCGCATCCATGCGTTACGTTATATTTCCGTTTTGCGGAAGATTCGTTTAATTGTGGCGCTTATTTAACTGTGATTGTGAAACATCTACTAATACATATTAACGGAACAAATAAAATTTTTTGTTAAACGTTTCACAACGATTCACAATCTACGCTTATGAATTGTTTTATAAGTTTCTTAATTTTAATAAAAATTAAATACGTTGCGGAGCATGAAAATAAGAGATATTTATGTTGTAAGAAATCGTATTGGATACTAAAATATGATTATTCACAAGTTTATTTGGCAACTTATAAATAATTTATGTGATATTTTAATCGCACACGGAGAAAATTTTATATTAAGTTTTAATACAATTTTAAATTACACTTTACTATCTTGTATTTTCGATGGACTCTCACAACATGATTCCGACTTAACTTTTACTATGGTAATACTAATTTTTATCACACAAATAAAGTAATTATTTTGTTAAGCCATATTCTAACATGAAAACAGTTAATTTTTACTATGGTACGCAAACAAAATTTTGCTAGGTATATTTGATTTTGTAATAAAAAATTTTTACTACGAAAAAGTGTAAAAATTATGTTATATTATTGTTTTTAAAAAAATAACTGTAGCATTTAAACTTATAATTTACATGAAGACCGCAGCTACTACTACATTATAGTAATTTTAAATATAAAATTTTCTCCGTGCAATATCTCATATATGATTACTCTAATTAATGATATTGTAATAAACAAGAAATACTGATAACGTTGAATCTCAGTGAAAATCCTGTTGCGATAACTTAACACATTCAAATAGGTCGAATTGATAAATAATACTATACATCCTGCGTGTTAAAATATACGCACACGCACATAGGGAGGAGACACATTTATCAAATTTAAAAGGATTTATTTTTTAATTGAATTAAAACGTGCAACTCAACGCATTTTATAAATTTTTAAGAAAATAATAAACTTCATTAATTAGATATCTAAAATAAGGCTCGCAAGAATGTATAATAATAAAAAGCTAGCCGACACATCAGTTAATCGAATGCACAATTTATTTACTTGTGAATTTAACAAAATATCTCATAAAAATATATAGACGTTTCGACCCTTATGTTTGGGTCCTTATTAATATAAAATCAAACCTTTTGTCTCTGAATGTCGTCACCATAAGATCGTTTTGTCAGTTTCTAAGATATGTCTACATTAAACCTGACAATTTGATGAATGATGTGCCTCCACCTTTGTGATATAATGTATCGGACTTGGTCTTCACTTTATCTTTTTTAGCAATTGAATAAAGAAGAATGAACCATATTATCACGGATTTCTACGTTGAAGTTAAGAGTATGATGTAATCGGGTTTGATTTTATATTGATAAGGACCCAAACATAAGGGTCGAAACGTCTATATATTTTTATGAGATATTTTGTTAAATTCACAAGTAAATAAATTGTGCATCCGATTAACTGATGTCGGCTCTGACGGGCTTTTATTTTATATTCATTAATTAATTTACTTTTACATTACACAATTTGTTTTTATTGAATATTTATAAAATATAAATATTCACAATAAAAATAGTGTGTAGTGTGATATCAAGAAGCTTATCGCTATTTCCTTACTGAGTGGGAAGTACAGTTTTTTATCACGTAATATAAATAAGCGCATCCATAGTCACTCGTAATATTTGCTTTCGAGAATTTGTATTTTCAACGTATAATAGTATAATAATCATGTTGCGATGTGTGTTAGTAGTGCTTTTATATGCGATAATATACCGTGTGGCATCGGAAAATACAATTGCAACTGATACAGCAATCAACGGATTGATAAGTAAATTAACATATAAGAAAATAATTGTAAAATATATCTCGCTTTGGTAATTTATCTGAGACTTAAAGAAGAGAAAGAAAGAAATATTATATTATATTCAATTTAAAACATTCAAGATATAACTATGTTAAATTGATATCTATCTTTTATTAATGACATTTAATTTACTTTATATATATATGTATTCCATCGTAATCGTTGTAAGGGAAAATATTTCAAAAAATTCACAAGATTGTCCTACAGCTTCAGGCAAATTATTACCAAACACAAATGGAAATTTGTCTCCGGCACAGCAGATTATCTACATTTATGGGCCGCGTCAATGGAAAATGCAAGACGGTAACAATTTCATAGAAAAAGCAGGAAGCGATTACCTTATGACACCTGGTATAGGTGCTCATAAACTTCACGTTCGCAAGTTGCCATGGAACAAAGCTCGTAGAATTTGTATTGAAGAAGGGGGTGAGTTTCTAACAGTAATTTTATTTGATGACGAATTGCTCATCGAATTGTTCTGCCACGTTTTTATCATTTTCTATGAGCAATAATGTTTCAACGTGAATTCTATTTCTTAAACTTTCTTTTGTATGAAGAGTATATTAACGACATCTAATAAAATTACGTAACTTTATCGGATTAACGCAAATGTACCCAACGATGTAGGTCATTTGGCAATCATTAACTCCAATTCGGAGGAAAAATTGCTGATGCACATCTTAGAGGAGAACAAAGTAAATCAGGCATGGCTCGGCGTGCACGATCTCTATGAAGAGGGCGATTGGAGCACGATCATGGATGAGCCTTTGGAAGCTACGGGATACTCAAAATGGACATTAAAAATTGCTAACGAGCCTGACAACTATAACGGAAAACAGCATTGCGGAGTTCTTCTAAAGGACGGAGGAATGGATGATCTCGAATGCACTGCAGCAGTTGCTTTCTTCTGCGAAATTACTCTCTGAATTCTCATAAATTACGTAAAGGCAAGATCGTAATCAGACGTGGTAACAGTATGCGCTTTATCAAAGACTATCTATAATTAAATAGTCATTCTGAGATGTGCTATCAAGATCAAATTAACGTCAGTAACAACGTAGGCGTGTTTTTTACGATTAATGGGGTTATAGATTAATCTTACAATGAAGGTGATTATAGGTCATAAGGTCTAATTTTATACTAACGATTATCTTTAGGATATTAAATACCATGGAACATGCGTAATGTATATTAGAAAGTGTAAGAAGACTTATATTTTTACAAAATACGTTGATTCCTTAAAAACATGTACTTTTAATTAATAGAATAAGGTAAAGAGGATGATTGATAAATAATATAATATAAATAAAAAATGAAAGTGTTATTATAGTGTTCTAAATTAATTATAATAGTTGAAATTAACAGAAGATATAAATTAAATGACTCGAGTTATAACTAGAATCACTTTAAACATCTCGTTATTGAGAACATTGAAATGGGAAGAATGGAAGAGGCTCGTTGCAACTTAAAGGTCAAAGGGCATTTGTATTCCGTGTATCTCTCAACTATGGATCAGCAAACTGCGTATGCAAAAGGCAATAACAAGCATTCTTCGTGGTTCCATCCGATGTTTCTTTATGTCGGTTTGCATTCGTCATGTTTCACGAATGAATCTATCACCGGTGATCGGTAGATCACTGTGATGAGATGATCATTCTCTCGCGGGGCCGAGTTTCCTCTTTTCCTCTCAACCCCGACGAGACCATCGTCCGCGTTACGAACGTAGCGTCCGATAGCTACTCTCAAGCCGTCCTTATTGATTTTCCTGTGTAGGCGCACGCGCCATCCCGTTCCCGATTTGCGACAAGGGGGGTGCGGTTGTAACCATGGATCCCAGTGTACTCGCCACCATGGACAAGGACGCACTGAAGAAGCAGATCGAGAATATGAAGTACCAGGCGTCCATGGAACGGTGGCCCCTGTCGAAGAGCATCGCGGCGTAAGTTCATCGCGGCACCAGTCGAATCATTATCCTCGTCATCGTTGTCGTTGTCGTTGTCGTTGTTTCCTGTATTTGCTAATTGTTCATCGTTTTTCCTCCCCGCTTACATATCATTTACACACATCTGTAAATTTGAGAAGACTGCCACCCTCGCACATAGATGCTCTAGAAAATGCCTCGCAATTTCCGTCGATTGTAGATTCACATAGGTAAATTTTTGAAGCAGCGTTTTTCTTCAGAGATAAAAAATTTAATAAAATTTATTAGTTTTTGTTGTGATATCCTTGAGATTTTTGTTACCATTATATTCAAGTCTTAAATTAATTTTTTAAATTTTCACCATAATATTTATTTATAAACAAATTGTTTGTATATACATATGTCCGTTTACATATAAATTTAATTTAATACAGTTGTCTTTTTACATTAATATTTAATAATATTTTAACTGTTGATGTTGAACAGCTGTCATTTTTTATTTAAAGTTTCATGAGCTGTATTTAAATGCATGATTGGGAAGATATTTAATTATTATTTAATTTTATTTTAAAAAGTCCGAGAAGCTAGTTCTATTCTTTTTAAATCTTTGCCTCGTTTAAACGAAACGAACAATTCATCTCGCGCTTGTTTGCTACTACATGCAATTAAGATAAAAATAAGTACTTAGGTTTATTTTTCATTTATTATTTTATATTCATTAATATTATTCAATAATATATGTTTATGCAAGTTTTACTTGTTTCATAGTATTTAATTTGTAGATTATTATTACGCGCGTTAGACATATAAGACACTTCCTTTAATTTTTCACACATTTTTTGTATATATTTTGAATACTTACTAGATATTTTTAATACAACTTAAATAGTACCCAACATACAAGAAACATTATTATGTTTGTGATCTCGAGATAGTGCATTTAATTTTTACATCACGGGCGTGTCTATTCGTGACAAGTTTCTTTGAATACTTCAAGTATTCTCTACGTATAAAGTAAATAATGCGAAGGCTATTTAACGGTAACAGCCGTAACTTTCTAGTTCCTTAATAATGGACGATGTAATTTTCGTTGGTGCGTGATCATAGAATGCCTTTCCAGATGAATTAACTCGCGCATAAACCTACGTAATCACGCAGGTTGTTATCGTTCAAGGTTCAACTATATCTCCTTCAGTTGAAGGATAACATTATTAAAAATTAAAAAAACGAATGTTTTTTATTTGTATTTACTAACCGTAATTACTAATACAAGCAGCTTTTTTTCCAAATATAACAGAAAAAGAAAAAATAAAATAGGTGAGATCCTATTTTAGCTTCTCTAATGGAAGTAAAAAATATTTTATTAATTATAATCTTAAAAAGAACATGAGACAGAGGTAATTAGTAAAGTATTTTAGACATTAAAGTCATGATTTTAAAATTTATTAATTTTTTAAAAAGGAATTATTTATTATCATTTTTCAGGAATTACATTGATCAATGTAACTTGGAAAATCCATTATACGAACGAAATGTGAAATGGAGTTTTTGCTACACGTCAGACGTCTTAAAACTGCGATCGAGCAAATAAAAATGCACGCTTCTGATTACGGCGTAGGTGTGTTCCGGTGTTCTCGATCGCATTTTTCTTGCCTCGAAGCGCAGCGCCTTTTCCCAGATAAGTCATCTCGCGCGCCTATAAGTGCAGTCGCGCGGATTGCTGGCTGACAGTCAAGGCTGAATTGTGCACAGCGTCCCCGTGTTACGTGGAGGGACAGGATCTCCTTGGACGGCGGTGCGTGTTCGCGTTAATCGCGTTTTTGCGGCACACGGTTACTTTCAGGGAACGCGCATTTATGTACGCGAGTACGAGCGCGATGAGAGAGCGAGAGTCCGTACAAAACCTGACGCGGCGATTATGATGACTCAATGATCGGCGATGATCTAATTGTGCCGTAGCTGGCCCCAATTGCGTTTCGATCGTCTCTCGATGGAATATCTTCGCGGTTTCGCCACTTCTAAGTGGGATCGTGCGGAAAGAGTTTATACGCGAGAATTATCCCCGCGTCCGTTTCAGTCGGTCCGGCTCCAGTTAATTATATCCTTCGCGTGTCACACTCTCGCTAATGATCGAGCACGGCTGAGTTATTGCGAGATTAAATGCTCGCAAAACGGCTCTGCAAATTTAACTCACGTTCCAATCGATTTAATGGCGATGTTAACGACCTTTTGCAGATAACGAGCTTATATGGAACTTTTTCCATATAAGCTTATTGTTTTATAAATTACACAAAACAACTGCACTCGAATTGACAATTTCTTTACCTTAGTAGACAACTTATTTTAAAAATCGTATATATTATATATCCAAATAATTACGATAATTCGTTTGTAAAACAAAACTTATGCGTTATAGACGTGCTTCGCTTTTGTTAAAAAAGAAACTTTTCTTTCTGTTTATTTTTATTAATTATCCTAGTGAAAATTTTTCTCATAATTTTTATACGAATTGGAACATTTTTCAAAAATACTCGGAAATATTCGGAAAGTTTACATCTTCTCTCAGAATTTTTCATACAAGTGAATTCGGAAATATTTTGAAATTTCTCATCCCATAATTTTTAAAAAATATTTTTGAATTTTTTTTAGATTTTATAACATTTTATCAGAAATTATATTTACAAAAAATCTTAGAAATATTATCTCATGATATTCCATAATTAACATATATGAAAAATTCTGAGAAAAAGTGTACATTTTCTGAGAAATGTTCCAATTCGTATAAAAAATATGAGAAAGTTATAAAAATATAGAAATTCTAAGAAAATATATAGAAATTTCTAAAAAATATATAAAAAATTCAGAGAAAAATTTTCACCAGGGTAATACTGTTTCGAGCATCATTTCTTTTGTGATTATCACTAGCGATACCAATACTTGAAAATATCGATACTTATATGCGATGGCAAACGAGCGAAAATATCCAACAACTTGCTGAAAGCATCTCCGGTCACCTGCATCACGGGTATTTTGCAAGGTCCGGTATTACGTCAATATCACACGAGACGAAAGGGAACGGAAGGATCAGGAAGCAGGCGTGGAAATTGTATCGTCGTATTATCGGAGCGCGAGATTAGGTCGATCGGTAAGGGATAAAAAGAAAGAGGAGAAAAAAGGGGGTGGCGCGGGGCCGGGGGGGAAAAAAAAATTTGTTGCTTTCGCGCACGATACTCGCCTCGAGAGTCGAAAACCGCCGCGAGAAACGACCGTTGTCGATCTGAACGCGCCGCGGTTCCGCGTCGTTCCGCAAGCGGAACCACGCACCGGAACAAAAAGATCGGCCGTCTACTTCCCGCATGCCCGCCGAATCGTATCGTCCATTAACGATGCGCCCATGCGCGCCACGGACAGTTTCTCCCTGTAACGATCTAATTCCGGTTTAATTAAGAGATCAATCGTATGCACACGACAAATAGAAATTGCTGTGCGCAAAATGTCGACGTTAACCGACAGCGGCGGCAGCGGCGCGGGCGGGGCAATGTGTGCCGACGTTGCGTCTCAGTTCCTGAATTTAGGATGACCTCCTTTAAACTCGGTTGAAGCCGACGCCTGCCTGTTGCATTCATCGGCACACAATAATGTGGGTCGTGTTCTTCCAATACGCCGTGGAAGTCTCATTACTCGCAGTACTTTAGCAGCGTTAATGATTATTGATAAATAAATTATCAAGAATTTTTCCAATTTATACAATAAATTGTCATTGAAATAATACTTTATAAATGTGGGAAAAAATATCAAGAGGGATATGTACATTTTACTTCTTCATTTTATAATTCAATTTTAAGGGGATCCTAAAGCAAAAGCTCAAACTCCGAAAAATCACTAGATGTCGCGCCGCGCGCCGCACATCGACATGTCTTTTTATCAGGGTTGGTAAGAAAAACGTTTTAAACGTGTTTTAAACAGTTTAAAACATGCTTAATTGATGTTTTTA